ACGTCATGTTGCGCCTGCGCTGTCAGTTGGAAATTTTCCCGGGCGCGGGATGGCGCCTGCGCTACAAAGTAACAATTTTCGCGGGCGCGGGAAAAATGGGTGAAGAAGAAGCAGGAAGAGCGCCATCTTGTGCTGGCATATGAGACAGCAGAACAGGGAAAAAGGTAAATACAAGGGGGAGGTGTAAGGTGGAAATGAATAGAGCTCAGGCGTTAATCGTCAATTATTATTCGCTATGGCCGGGGCGCGCAGCTCCGGACAGGGAATCAGCTTAATTTTACAGCAGGGCTTTATTTTACCTCTCTGGCAATTAATGGATTCTGGGTATTTATTAAGAACTTTAAAATTTAACCCAAAGACTATTAAATACCACCAGTCCAGCTCTGGCAAAGGACTTTTGGCTTTGTTTACCTCCACCATTACCAAAATACACTGCCGTCGCAATCCCAGGCTTATCTTGGGCCCTTGAAAAAATGTCCTACCACCTCAACTACAAGGGAGGGACTCCCTTCAAATTAATGAACCTGCATGACTTCTATGACTTCAAAATTACATAAATGACAAAAGTTACAATGTCAGGATGAGCAGTAAGCCTTCTACAGTCCTACCAAAGTAACCTTTCTGGGGTTGCATCCCCTCAAAAACCCATTTGGGGCCCAATAACACACAAATAACTAAAATCCCAGGTGCCACTTTGTATTAAAAAAAAATTCTAGTCAGACCCTGGGTACCTTGAGTCATCAGAGTAACTACACCCTAGGGATTAACCTCTCACATGATATGTAAGCTATGCAGTTACCTAGGCTGCGTCATTTAGAAAACCTGTATGGTTTTCATGAAACTATTCCTAATTAAGGGCACTTTAAAGGACACATAGTCTAAGTACTGTCAAGGTAGGCCCACTAGCTGTGTTCACATTTTCACTTGGGAAGCCGGTAGTAATCCTAAGACAGCTAGTTGCCTTTTGGTTCTCCAGTATGAAAATACCTCTGGGTGATTGCTGGTGGACACTAAGCATAACTACCTTCACCGGGAAAACTTAACTGCTGGGACAACTCAGGATACTTCCCAAGGTCCTTTCCAGCCTTTAGCTGGAGCCACCTTAGCAGGGACCTTAACCACTGGGGAAAGCAAAAACAAAAAGCTAACCCATATGTTCACCATAGAGAATGATTTTTGTCTTGAAAAACACGGAGTCTTTTTCCTGTGTGGAACTAATTCCTAGTTATGTTTGCCAACTAAATGGACTGGAACCTATACACTTCTTTATTTAGCCCCTGAAATCAATATAGCCCTCAATAACCAGTCTCTCATTCCTTTAACTGCACCCACCAGGCACAAATGAGCCTTCAAACTCATACCCCTTTTGGTAGGACTAGGAATAACCACGGGAGTAGGAACAGGAGTTAGTAGGCTTGCAACATCCCTATCCTATTACCAGCGTTGTCCAATGATCTTTCAGAGAGCTTGGAAGACATTGCCCAAAGTATTGTCACCTTATAAAATCAGACACCTTGGCAACGGTCGTTTTACAAAATAATAAGAGATTGGATTTCCTAGCTGCTGAAAAAGGTGGCTTATGTCTTTTCCTAAAAGAAGAATGCTGGGTTTTTTTGTTTTTTTTTGTTTTGTTTTGTTGTTGTTTTGTTTTGTTTTGAGACAGTCTTACTCTGTCGTCCAAGCTGGAGTGCAGTGGCGCGATCTCGGCTCACTGCAAGCTCCGTCTCCTGGATTTATGCCATTCTCCCACCTCAGCCTCCCAAGTAGCTGGGACCACAGGTGTCTGCCACCACACCCGGCTAATTTTGTTTTTGTTTTTTTTTTTTTTTTCAGTAGAGACAGGGTTTCACCACGTTAGCCAGGATGGTCTCAATCTCCTGGCCTCGTGATCTGCCCACCTCAGCCTCCTAAAGTGCTGGGATTACAGGCGTGAGCCACTGCACCCCACCGAAGAATGCTGTTTTTATGTCAACCAATCAGGATTAGCAAGAGATGCCACCTGAAAATTAGCTAACGGGGCCTCTAAAATATAATAGCAGCTGTCCGAGTCATGGGGCTTCTAGTCAAGGGCACTAAGTTGGGCTTCATGGCTACTTCCCTTAGCTGGCACATTATTAACAATTATACTTTCATTGACCATGTTTTGGACCATGTTTGTTAAATCTTTTAACCAAATGTATTTTTTCTCACCTAGAGGCCATTGAGCTTCAAATGGTCATGCAGCAGGGCTTCTATCCAGGTAATGATGCCAGCCCCAGCCATCAAGAAGTCATCCTGTCTCCACTAGACAGAGCAGGGTGAGAGTTCCATGGTCCCCAGTAGGTAGGGACTGTGTCCCAAACAGCATGAAGCAGTTACAGAAGAAAGACTGTCAGTCCCTCTGCCTCCTATAAATATTTATGGATATTATGTCTCTCAAGGGGGAATGAGGCAGGAGAATAGGGTCTGGAGACAGGGAGCCTTCACTTTAGCCTCTGATTGGTCACAGGCCAAATCTTCATTTGCATAGGGTGTAACTTCACTTCAGCCTCCAATTGGTCATGGGCCACATCTTCATTTACAAAGGGTGTAACCAATAGGAAACCTCTAAAGGGTACTTAAACCCCAGAAGATTTTGCAACTGGGGTGCTTGAGCCACTTGCCCAAGCCTGCTTCTGCTCTGTGGAATGTACTTTCACTTCAATAAATCTGTGCTTTCATTGTTTCATTCATTTGTTGCTTTGCTTGTGCATTTTGTTCAATTCTCTGTTCAATATGCCAAGAACCTGGACAACTTGTAATCAAGACCCTCCACTGGTAACACCCTGAGCATGATATTTGTGATGACATCAAGAAAGAACACACTGTGGAATTAGACACTGGCTCCCCAAGTGAGGAGCTGAGCAGTGCTAGAGAGGTAAAGAAACAGACAATCTTACAGAAGGAAGAAGAGAGGAGTCAGCCAACAAAACCCCTTCTTCTTCTCAAGAACCCCCAATGAAGGAAACTTTGGGGGAGATGAGAGCAAAGGATCACCAAATAATGCTTCATCCTCCATGGATCCTGAAGTGAGGCTTAGTAGCCCACCAGGGAAGCCCAAAGACTCATCCAGTGTTGATGGTCAGTCAGTGGGGACCCCAGTTGGACCAGAAACTGGAGGAGAGAAAGATGGACCAGAAGAAGAGGACTTTGATGACCTCACCCAAGATGAGGAAGATGAAATGTCATCAGCTTCTGAGGAATCTGTGTTTTCTGTCCCAGAACTCCAGGTGAGAGCTGGAGAATATTCTCAAGTATTTTGTGGACTCAGTAATATGTTTAATTTATTGATATGCCACCTGCTTGCTTGCTGCACTATAGATAGGCCTAAAATCATTTGTATTTGATTTGTGAATGCATTATGGGACATGATTGTGGGGTTGAGGTGAAATGAGATGGAAAGGG